ATACTGAGTCATCAGAGAAAAGGGACTGTTGGTCCCTTCTTGAAGTTAATATAGTAAAATACCATGGGATATGCTTTTGGGAGGGAGTTACTTTTTAAAATTACTATTATTTTAAAACTTTTTATTTTGAAATAATTTCAGCCTCACAGAACAATTGCAAAAGAGTACAAAAAATTCTCATATTCATTCATAGTCACCAAATGTTAGCATTTAACTGCCTTTTAACTACCTTTGCTTTATCATTCTTCCTTCACAGACAGATACAGACATAGACACAGACACACACACTTTTGAAATTTTGAGAGCCATTTGCCAACATGACGCCCGTTTTCCTCTATAATTAGTAATATGTTTATATTTATTTACCTCTATATTTAGTACCTCTATATTTAGCTCTGTACATTTCCTAAAAGCAAGGGCTATTCTCTTATATAGCCACAGTATAATTTTCAAAAGCATGAGATTAACATCGATACAATGCTATTATATAGTCTATAGGCCTTAGTCAAATTTCATAAGTTGTTTCAATGACTGTCTTCTATAGCAAAAGAGAAAAAACCCACAGCAGAAAATACAGTGTTTCGTTGTCAGGTGCCTTTAGTCTCCTTGAATCTGGAACCACTCCGCAGTCACATTTACTTTAGTGACCTTGCCATTTGTTGAAGTGAGTAGGCCAGTTATTTGTAGGATGCCCTTCAGTTTGGCTTTATCTGATGTCATGATGGCTCATGACATAGGTTGTACACTTTGGGCAGCAATGCCACAAGAGATGCTGGCTTCTTCCCAGAGCTTCATGTCAGGACGCCCTGGTGCCCACTTTGCCCTATCTCTGATGATGTTTTCTCTCATCACTTGGTCAGGTGCTGCCTTTCAGGGTTCTTCACTGTGAAGGTACTATTTTCCCCACTGAAATTAATAAGTATCTGTGAGGAGATACTTTAGAACTATTTAAATACCCCATTTCTCATCATAGTTTAGCTCACTAGTTCTAGCAGCCATCTTAGGATTCTTGTCTGAAGCATTTATTACTATGTTGGTTGCCAAATGGTGATTTTTCTGATTTTCTGTTTTCCTTCTACATTGGAATTCTAGATCATTGAATTTCTAATGACATTCCTGAAAAACTACCTGCAAAAGAGAACATATCTGAGCTAATCTAAATCTATAGGAAATAAAAACACTGCCTCTCTCTTCTCCTTAATCCCAGAGCCCAGGTATTCAGCTAAGTGGCTTATCTGTCTATATTTAACACAGTGAAAATATGCAGAGCTGTTGGAAGTTGTTCCTAAGCTTTCTTTCTATTTGAGGTAACAAATAATTCCTAATCTCTTCTTCTGAGAACCTTTTCTCCGCAGGTTGACCCTACACTTTTTCTCATAAAGTCTTGGTCTTATTCTCCCTTTCCTGGCCCTCTCCCAACACACACACACACTCACTCACCACACACACACACACACACACACATACACACACACACCCCTTAGAATCTGACTCTTAATGCTGATGAAGCTAAAGCTGTTTTCTCAACATTAGAGACTCTGTTCACCTCAAGCCTCTTAACCTGTTTGAGGGCATGACTGGCAAGTTGACATTCCACAAGCATCTTTACTCCCTTTGACTTCTAGCTCAGCACTTTCAACTACCTGCTCTCTGGTCTTAAAGCTCGACACTCAAGATGAATCTAATTCAGTTCTCTCTCACTCTCCAGTATAAAATAAGTCAATATGTTATTCACAATTTCTCACTCTTGAAATGCCTTTTCAAAAATTAAACCTCTAACAGACCTCTTCTCCACTAGGCTCCTGAAATACAAAACTATGTTTAAGACTCTTCTCCAGTTACTTCCTTCAGAAGATTTCTGACCTTCATCTCAACTCTTCCCATCTATGAGAACCGTTCTTTCCCTGGGACAATCATTCTCCATGCAGTAGGCACCAGAAGATCTTAGATTATTCTACTAACTTGTTATGTATTTTTCAAGGAAGCTAATTTTTACTTATACCAAAGAAGTAATGGACACAAATGATCTATATCTAAGAAAACCTTTCCTCCTGGTTAATAGACTGTTACTTGTAATATTAAGAAACTGGATTTCTTTTACCTTGTAATATTATATCTCTCAAGCAGAATGGGAACATTTGAGGGACTGTTCTCTGGTCTAAAATCCATATCACAGTCACCTGCTTCTGGGAGGAGGACTATATTTTGGCAGAAGGCTTTCTTTTTTTAAAATGGAAGTATAGTTGATTTACAACACTGTGTTAATTTCTGGTAGATAGCATAGTGACTCAGTTGTACATATACATATATTCCTTTTCATATTATTTTTCATTATAGGCTATTACCGAATATAATTCCTCTGTGCTAAACAATAGAACCTTGTTGTTTATCTATTTTATATATGGTAGGTAGTATCTGCAAATCCTGAACTCCCAATTTATCCCTCTTCACCCCCTTTCCCTGCTGGTAACCATTAAGTTTGCTTTTTATGTCTATGAGTCTGCTTCTGTTTTGTAAATAAGTTCACTTGTGTCAGAGGAGGAATATATTTATGACTAGTCTTTTGTCATAAATCTTAAGCTAGGAATAGAAATGGTAGATCTACTAAATAAAACTGACTTTATTCCCCAGGAACTTCTGAGGAATTAAGTCACTAGTTAGTACCAAATATTACTATCTTTGGAGAAATTCCAGCTTCTCAGGCATAACCTTGCTTCTTTTATGAGGAAATATTGAGAGACGATATTTTCTTCTCCCGACTTAAAATCCCCAAGTGACAGCACTTCCTTGCTTTATCATTGAATAGGATGAGAAACAAAAAACTCCTCATCAACAGTTTTGGTCACTCTGGAAACAGAGATCTTTTATTCCATGAAAACTCACTAGCCAAAAGCCTTTGTGGTTCTAGATATGTCCACTGTAAAGGGCAGAGAATTGAAGCAACTCATCACAAACTAATCACTCTGTTAATTAATACAGTACAGTCATCCCTACGTATCTGTTGGGGATCGGTTCCAGGATACTGTGGATACTAAAATCCTAGGATGCTTTATATAAAATGCAGTAGTATTTGCATATAACCTATGTACATCCTCCTACATACCTCAAATCATTTCTAGATTACTTGCAATACCTAATACAATATAAATGCTATACAAATAGTTGTAAATACAATGTAAATGCTATGTAAATAGTTGTCAGTATGCAGCAAATTCCAGTTTTGCATATTGGAATTTCTGGAATTTTTTTCCCAAATATTTTTGATCCATGGTTGGTTGAATCTGTGGATGTGGAACCTGCAGATATGAAGGACTTTATTTCCAAATACTGACTGATGAAATAGACTCAACTGCTCTGTAAATTATATGATAATTTATCCTAAGCCCTTTTGACATGGACACTCAAGTACTTTGGCAGAACCTACCTCTAAGATCAGATACTATGATAGATAGCAGTTCAGAAAAGATGTAACTTTTAAGAATTAAGGGTTGAATATTTTATTTCTAGACTTCCCTTCTGTGGTTACAGTTTTTGAATGTTCAATCACTGTTTTTGGAGGAAGGACTGTCCACATGGTATCTGGACAAAACACCGAGTGGAACCCATCTCCATCAGTTGAGTTAGGAAGGACGTTGATAGATAGGTCACAAACATTAGGGGCTTAGATTAAATCTTGAAAAATATATTAATCAAGGTGGGAAAATTTGAACATCAATGAGAATAATACTTGCAGTGGAATGAAATACATCATATATTAAAATTCATGAGATAGAATAATGATTCTTAAACAAACAAAACAAAACCAATGCCAACGTTTGGAGATTGGAGCTAGGAGACTCACTCTTCTGAAAAATGATATACAAAGGGAAAGAATCAAACATTTATCCTGTCTTCCCTGCATGTACTGTATATCAGTGTAACCAAATATCTGGTAAGAGAAAGTTCTTTATAGAATTTCAGATATGAATGAAGGAATGATAAAGTGAATAATATCAATGTTTTGCCATTGCAAAAGTAATGGGTTTAGGCAATTGTATCAATGAGTCTGTAAAACTATTGATTGATAGTTCAAGATAGATGGAGCAATCTGGCAACACTTAGAGCCACCTATCAATCTTAACATACCCCAAAGAGAAGCAACCCAGCATTATGCGCCTGTGATGTGACACAAGAGGAAATATACAGTATGTAAAACATTCTTACCAAAAAATTGAACCTGATTCTTATTAAGCCTCTAGATTTACCTACTAGTATACAGGAAAACAGGGGCCAAAGGAACATATTAAACAACACCATGTTGATACAATCAGCAAAATCCTGAATGTAGGAAACTCTAAAAGACAACCCAATTTCTTCAACAAATAAATTACAAGAAAAAAATTAGAGAAGGGGAACCTATAGATTAAGAGAAACTTGTGAGAAGGACCAAACAAATGTGAGGTATAGATTTAGATCCTGACTTAAACAAAGCAACTATATATATATATATATATATACATATAGACATGTACTAGACTACCAGGGATAGTTGAACACTAACTGAATATTTGAAAAGAGTCATCTTTTGCCAATACTTACTAGAGCATTTACAGATGATACGATGTCAGTGATTTGCTTCAAAATAGCCTATTGGGCAGAAAAGTGGGTACGAGTATATATGGAACAAGATTGGTTTAGAGTTGGTAATTACTAATGTCTGACATGGAAGTGAAGTTTCATTGTAAACTTTTTATAATATAAATACCTTAGGCATTAATCATCCCAAAAATCAGCGTGCTTTTCTTTCTCTGATAAGTAGATCATTTTGGTAATGGAATCATCTAGGTTTGAAAAATAAATTACCACACTTGTAGTGTTCCTGCATTTGCATGGAAATGTGCAATACTTTGAGTATAAGTACAATAACCCTGAAAAGACATGTATCTCTTCCAATTAGGATGTATGTTAATCCTTATGTTATCCCTGAAGCTGGAGGCTGATTCTTCTTACTGTCTGGCCAGGTCAGTGAACAGCTGATATTTTACCAGCATGTGGACTGGGAAAACACAGGCTGGACTGCAGAAGACTCTTTCGTGTTCACGGCATCCTCTCCCCCAGCAGTTCTAGGCCCTGAAGATTTCCATATAACTATTTCATATGAAATTAATGAACTTGGTCGGCAGAGTCGTCTGCTTGCAAATACAGGTAATTCCACCAAGATACGGTCAGTACCTTATCTCTAATTATTAAAGTAGGGACAATTTGGAAATAAATCTTTCCCCTTTTAATTGTCAGTGCTATGGTATCAACCTTTGAAATGAAACTTAAATGGCTATAAAAATTTGTTATTTCTTTATGTGTGCTCTTTCTTTGGGCCTCTGCCCTTTCCTCTCATAAGCCTTAATAGTTATAGTGGGAGAAGGATGGCACATTAGCTTTAGAGAATTCTTATTTGTACTTCCAAATGGGGACTTCACTATGCCCATGACTGAAAACTGTTGACAGAAAATGAAAATGACAAATTGGGTAAAATCTTGAAAGAAAAAAGGGTATTGAAAGCTGCACCTATTTCCATGGCAAAAGAAAGTCCAGTAGTAGGTAAGTTAGGAGATTAACATTTTATAAGTGAATCTCAAGGTTTTAAAAGTCCCTTGCCTAAAATGTTGACTTAACAGTGTGGGTGTGTGTAGGGGGAGGCTATAGCTCTATGGTAGAGTGTATACTTAGCATACACAAGGTCTTGGGTTCAATCCATGGTAACTCCACCAAAAATAATAAACAAACAAACAAACAAACAAACCTAATTACACCACCCAAAGTAAAAATAAATAAAATAAAAATTAAAAAAGATAGTATGGATGTATGTATTTAAAATTTATTTTTTTATATACCTTGGATGGCAATGATAATTCAGGTACTTAAGCAACCAAAGTGTTTTGAATAATCCACTAGGACAGGCAAATTTGAAGGAGAAAAAAGTCATACAGTTGTCATTTGAAAGTTCTAATGAAATGCCACTTTGTTTTAACAGGAGCAGTTGTCAAGGAGGGAAACAAAGTTCTCATTGACCGATCTAAGTTAGATGCTTCCAACCTCTTATTTAAATTGCCCAAATCTCAGCGCTTTTCATATGAAATTTTGTTCCAAGTTACATCTCTTCCTCACCATGGAACTATTATGGTTGGAGAGAGAAATATTACCAAAAGAAAACCCAATTTCTCCCAGTATATAATTAATAAATTTGGAATCACATACCTTCATGATGACTCTGAATCACTGGCTGATAATTTTACCTTTGCTGTTTGGCCCAATCCAAAGAGCAAGTCCTCCACTAAGCCAGAGGCTGACTTTCTTGAAGAAATGTTTAACATCACCGTCACTCCTGTAAATGACCAGGCCCCAGAATTAAAGACAAAAGGGCTTCGGTTGAAGGTTCTTCAGGGCGATAGGTTGGTTTTAGGACCCAAAAACCTTAAAGTGGAAGATCTAGACAGTCCTCCAGAGGATATCAGGTATATGATCATCCGTAATCCTAATAATGGCTTTCTGGCAATGGCTTACCATCTAGACACAACTGTTCACCATTTCACACAAGCTGACATTGATAACTCTCAGGTGTGGTTCATACAAGATGGAAGCCCATCCTCGGGAGTGTTTTACTTTAGCGTGAGTGATGGCCAACACCGCCCACTCTACAAGCTCTTCCACCTGGAGGTCATCCCCGTCTCCATCACCCTTGTTAACCTCACTGACCTATTTCTCCCACAAGGCCAGACAACCATCCCCATCACCAGTGCTCACCTATCAGCAATGACCAATGGGAGGAGCCCCCAAATCACCTACAAGATAACACGGCCCCTCCAACATGGGCATCTGCTTATTGAAAACCAGGCAGTTATCAGCTTTGGACAGGAGGATCTGGATTCAGGAAGGCTCTCTTACCACATGACAAACCTCACCGCCTCAGAGGACCAGCTACAGTTCTCACTGTTTACATCAGAAAGCAACCTGACAGGACAAACACTGAGCATCAGAGTGCAGCCTTTACTGCAGGTTATGTCAAACCTGACAATTGTCAACCACGTGGCTCATCAGCTGAAAAGAAAAGACCTTGATGCTACTGAGCTTGCGAACAGAACTAACAGTGATCCTAAATTTGAAGTGACAGAACCTCCAGTCCATGGAAGACTTGTACGAAGAGTGGGCCGAGGCACTGTGATGGAAGACGCTATTCTGTTCACCCAGAGGGACATTGACCAAGGACTGCTGATGCTCAAGTCACACGCCAACCTAACAGGCATCAGTGCGCTGAATGACTCCTTCACTTTCTTGCTCAGTGCAGACCACGTACAGCCAGCAAAAGGTTATCTCCCATTCACCATAGTGCCACTTGACCCCTTTATTTTGCAAACTTTTACCCCTGATGTTTCTTTATTAGTCACCACAGATAACCTTATGACTTCAGATCTCTCTCAGGAAAAGTTTGTGGCTTCCTCAGGACCCATCACACAGACAGGAACTCTGGGGAAGCTGACCCAGACCAGATGACAGGAAGCAGATCCCTGGGAACGACTCAGTGGTGAAGACTCCACTCTGGATGGCAAGGCCTCTCCCACCAGAGTCATTTGGCCACCAGATGCCACCAAAGCCAGTCCTGGGGCACCTACTCAGCCCAGGGAGAGCAGTCACCCTCTGATGGTCATCGTACCTTTGGCTGTGGTGTTCTTCCTGCTGATAGTAACTGCAGTGGCCTTGTGTGTCTGGCTGCTAGGCCGGAAGGTGGAAAAGGCAAAACCTCTTATCAAGCCCCAGACCAACCTAGAACCCACAACCCCAGGTTCTAGGAGAGAAAAGAGCATAACTGTTCCCACTGTCACAGTGACACCCCTTCTACAAAGTTCCAGCCGTCCTCCAGGAAGTCTTTTCAGAGCCCTACAATGTCAGCACATGGAAAAATCTCCAGTCACTGAGCCCATGGAAAAATGTGCTCCCTGGGAAACATGGGTGAATCTGAATCCCGACATGATCAAGCTTTGCCGACAAACCAATCCAGCACTGAAGCACAACCAGTACTGGGTGTAGACTGAGGGTGCTTGTTCCTTACTGACCAACTACTATGTGCCAGGTATTGGGATAGGCACTGGGATACAAAGGCAAAGAAATGCTACTTAGGTCAATTGAGAAAAGCCCAGCCCTTCCAGTCCCTTGGTGCTCAGCTGTAGACCCGTGGTTAGATGTTAGCAGGTGTTTATTGTAACTTTTATACAACACTCATCTTATGGGCTTTCCACAATGAGCTTTGTGTGCCCTCTTCTGGACCTGCTGCTCTGACCATACATGAGATTTTTGTCAATATTTAACCCCTTTACCAAGGTGCGACAGAGCATGCTGGCCTGACTGGGGATTAACATGGGAGCTGAGTTAATGGAGGAAAGCTTTGCACATTTTTCACTGATGATTCACTCTCTCTGAGTGAGTCAGTGAGGAAGTGAAGGAACTGTTTCAGCAAGTAGAAGAGGTAATTTATCAAATCAGTGAGTTTGTTTCTAGTCTTTTCCTCCTTGGAGTCTCTGGGTTTGACTTCCTAAAGCAGGAAATGCGTTGTTACCCCAGATAGTGAGACAGTCTGGCCCCCTTTGAAGATATTCACTGAACACATTGCATTTCATCAAGAGGCTTTGTCTATTCTGATTTGTAATATCAAGCCTATAGTATTATTTGAAGCCCTAAGGAATAGGAAAGTTTGTTAAATGCTTTTGTGATGCCTCAATTTGGCTTAACTTTACAACGAAGTGAAATAATGACAAATTTGTATTTGACTTGCCTAGTAGAGCCTACCATAGGCCAACTCAGCTTCAGTTTCCATAACTGTAAAGTGGAGATATCAGTACTTGTATTAGCTAGGAATGCTCTGGGTAGCAAATCACAAGACATCTGCTACAAGTGGGGCTAAGGTTGGGGATTGGCAGACCTTTTCTGTGCAGAGACATATAGTAAATGTTTTAGGCTTTGTGGGCCATGTATGGTTGTTTTATTTTTTTAACAACCTTTTAGAAATGTAAAAACAATTCTTAGTTCCTAGTTTTGACCCACAGACCATAGTCTGCCAACCATTGGTTTAGCTAAGCAATAAAAGTGTTGAATTGTTTCAACTAACAAGCAGCCTGAGGTGGACATTCCAAGGCTGGTTCAGGAGTTCAAAGACATCATGAGCACTGATGCTCTTTTGTTCTTCCTGCTCTACCTTCCCCAGGCTACTGGCGTTTCATCCCTTTGTTTTGTCCCTTGTGATGGTGAGATGGCTGCTGAAGCTCCAAGCAGTATTGTCACATTCAAAGGCAAAAATCCTAGTGGGGAGAAAAGGAGAGGTGGCAAAAAGACTTTTTCTTAGAGAGGATCTTATTTATTATTATTTATTAATATTTTTTAAAAATCTTAAAGCTTTCCCAAACATTTTCCTCCTTTTAATGTCTCATTTGTCTAGAACTGAGCAACATGATTCCCACCCCTTGACCAGTCATCGGCAAAGGGAAATGGAATTCTCATGACTGACCTCTCTTCTGGGGCTGGGAGAGGATTCTGCCAGGTCAGAGATCAATGAATCAGCCCACCATGTAATTAGGGAAGGCTGGGAAATGGCAATTAGACAATGAGTAGAATCTACTAAGGTAGTGGGGAGGGTATAGCTCAGTGGTAGAGTGCATGATGCTTAGCAAGCATGAGGTCCTGGGTCCAATCCCCAGTGCTTCCATTAAAAAAAAAAAAAAGAAAGAAAGAAAAGGGAAAAAATATACATTAAAAAATCAACTAAAATACTCTAAGTATTGAAATACTTGGGAAACAAAGCTTTTGATCTTTCAAATTGGTGTCTCCTATAATATCTCCTTTTCATATTTTAATGATTTTCTTGAAGCCAGCGACCAGTGTTTCTAAGGTGGGGAGAGGAATTTCCCCCTAGGGGGCATTTGGCAATGTAAGGAGACATTTTTCGTTTTCATGACCAGTGCTGCTGGCATCTAGTGAGTACAGACCAAGGACCCTGCTAAATATCCAACAATGCACACACAGGACAGCCCCCACAACAAAGAATTATCTGGCCCAAAATGTCAGTAATGCCAAGGTTGAGAAACCCTGGTTAAAGTCATAGTTAAGTTTCCCTTCATACCCAGTGAAGGATTAATAAGCCCATTACCAAGTCTAGGCAAAAACTGTATCCTAAAAATAGAATGGAAAGGTGAAAATTCCAAAGTGTGTTTGAAACTGATTAGCTAATGGTAAACATGAACATTTTTTAAAGAGATTGTATTAAAAACCAAACAAAACTTGAGCAGACTCATTTCTCTATATTCCATGTCTAAGGAAAAATTTTTGCCTTGTATTAACAGGTGGAACACATCAGGAAAAAAAGAGAAAATATGGGGTAGGATATTTACAAAGGTAAAGATGAGGTCAAAGTGTCCCCAAAAATCTGATGCCTCTGATGTGTTCCATATGGAGAAGGCTTTTTTTCTCACCCTCTCCCTTTTCTGCTCTTCTAGGTTGCTTTTCTCTCCCCACCAAAATTTAACTGCTCTTTATGGAAACAGATTTCACAGTCTACAGAATAAATGGAAGCACAGCATATGTGGGCCTAGAGACAACTACCCTTGTCTTAGATCCCTGGCTCCAATGCTACAACTTGCCACCATCCCTGGCCATGGACAATTGTTGCCAATGAAGACATCTCTATTCTTCTTCTGAAAGCAATTCTCTCCTGCATTTCTGGATTCTGAGTTTTACATAGTCCCTCTCAACTGTTTTTTGTATTTGATCCCCTTAGAAAGGAGGAGGAATGAGAGTCTTAACCCAAGGTTGGCTTAATCACTGTACAACTCAGAAGTGTTCTTGGGCCTGTTCTAAGCAGCTGGGCACTCAGAAGAAGCAGAATAAGTTGTGTGAGCTCATACACAGAAAGAGAAGGCTGAGGAGCATCTCTGCATGCAGCAAGTGGGTTTTGCTCTCCCTCAACTAGGCAAGGAGAATGCCTGTTCTTTGTGGAAGAGCCAGACATACTTGGCTCTGTGATCACGTTGGCCTCTTCCTTACTTCAGCCATAAAATCTCTGGAGCTAGGATTACCAGCCTAGCCAAACAGAAAAAAAGTCTGCTTTCACTCCTCTTTTTCCTGTTAACTCTGCTACTCTAGACAAAAAAAATTTGGTGTCATATTGGAATGAGACCCATACCAATACTTTAAAATGATAATTCATGTTGTTTGTGAGTGTGCCTGCTAGAGCAAGAATGTCAGTGTGAGATCCAGATGTCAAGACTCGGTCATGAATCAAGTAATTCATATAGAGCTTGGAAAGGTTTCTTCCAGAGGATCTGGAATAGTCTACCAATTTACAGATGGGTTCAATTAGAAGGAAACAATGCCTACCATTTGGTGCTGGCTCAAATAAAACATGAAATAAAACATTTTGGCAAAGCCTTGTTTAGTGCTGAAAATCGAAGTTTTGGAAACTGAAAATCAGTCTGAAATGGTTTTTCCCATATGCAGAGCTATAACTGCATAGTCTCTGTCATAATGAATTCACTGCCTCTTAACAAATGACTGGTGATTTAATAAGTGGATGTTAAGGGTATCAGAGGAGTGGCTAATTTTGCTTAAGAGAAGGTATACTTTGGGGTGAGCTGGGAGTGGAGAGTCCAATTTCTTTCCGTATCTGGAGGCTGTGGCCGATTCTAACCTTTCAGAGATTCTGCTCAAACATTTGGCTGTACTTCCTTAGAGTTGTGCATTTAATTAGGTAAGTGGAGTGACACAGAATCTATTCTTCAGATTTCTGAGGCTGAAGTAGGCACATTTGGAGAGTGAACAGTAGGTAATGGGAGGTGGCACATATCGGATGACATTCCCTGAATTAGGGGATGGGGTTATACTACACACCTCTTGGCTCTTTCAGCGGCATTGTAATTAATAATGAGGTTCAGTTTGGCCCTGTGTAGGGAGAGATGTGGGAATGAATGTGAGTGCGGAGCCCACTGTGTGGCATACTGAATGATGGAGACTTGGCCGGGCTGGTCAAGAACGCCACTGGCTATTTCATGGGGACCTGAAAGGGGCTGCCTTTTCATAGTGATCTGCAAATAGTTTTTAGGCACCTACTGCATGTGAGACACTAGATACCAGATACTGCTTCTAGGTATTGAAGATGCATGACTTTGTCCTGAAAGGAAATTTTTGGTCTGTTTCCTCTATTGGCTCTTCCAGAATCATTCAAGGAATGCCAGGAGAAAGGAGGGTACAGAAAAAGAAGGACAAAGGGAAACAGAGGTTAGAAAAATGGCTTCGTGTTTTCACTCGAAGTGCTCTTATGTAAGTGCTGCCCACCCAGTTGTGCAGCCAAAATTAGGGAGCTCACAGTCCACCAACCTCCACATGTCTCAGCCCACCCCTGGGTCATTGTCCCTCAGTGTGCCTCACTCATATTCTCACCAGGCCTGGTGGCATGGCAGAGGGGTTGAACAACAGACTGGGTCTGTTTTGGATCCTGGCTCTCCACTTCCAAGCAGTGTGACTTTGAGTAACTTATTCAGTCTCTCTGAACTTTAGTTTCTTTAGCCGAATGGGGATAATATTAGCACCTAACTCTTTGGGTTTTATTAGGGTTTAGTGATATAATCACTTGACTTTAATATCATAATCATATTTGTACAATATTTTCAATGCATCAGGCACTGTACTAACTGCTACAGAGGAATTTTCTTACCTAGGGTTTTAATGCCTTTTAAAAGGATTAACACATTGAGTCACTTGAGTAGACCAGAGGCTCATATTCTACCCAAAGCAGTGCATTACTGGCAGTAGAATTTCAGGAAGTGATTTAGGGTTGAATGAGGTGTTTTTAAGGAGAGGAGCTTCCCAAATGCAGACAGGGCTTTCCTCTTCCTCCTTAGGCAGAGGCTGGCAAGAAAGTGGATGAAGGATGAAGGAGAGAGTACACCAGGAACACTCGCAAGAGGCAGACTCAAGCTTGGAGTATTGATGGTTCTCTAACTTGTAGGCAGTGCTGATAAAACACTCTGCACTGTTTCCTTCCTATCCAAGCTGAATCAAATCCCTACATCAACCAGCCTCTTGACTTTGAACACTTACCTCCTCTTCTTCCTGCCAACCCAGTATTCTCAGGCATTCATGAGCTAGTAATCTTACTTAAGTCCAGGATTGGCAAAGGACTGACACTTTAAAAAAAAATTAATATCCTTTAGCAAAATAAAAAGTGCTGCTTACTATCGCCGTAATTTCATTTTTAAAGTAAGAACAGAATTTTATAATAAAGAATTTTATGGAAAAAAAGTAAGCGGCTTTATGAAAAATTTTCTCCTTTGCCCAGACTTGACCTTGGCCTGGGAAAACCTTATCACAAGCCAACAAGGTCATGAACCCCCATGTGGAGGCCATGCTTATGGGTGTATGGTCAGAGCTGAGGGAAAGGCAGGGAAGAGGGAACTCAGCTCCTCAGTGTCAGTGTTTCTTGTGGAGATGTGGTCAGAAGTACCTGGGGGGGGTGTTTGTGTGTGAGGGGAGGAATAGGGGTGAGGGGCAATTTGCTACTTAAGAGTCTAGACAAGGCCAGGTCATGTGCAACCAGTGCAGTCACACAGTGCCCACTTTCAGAGGGACCTTGAGCTTAATGCCCCGCTGTCACCATCTGGAAATTCTAATCATTTTTGAACAAGGACCCCACATTTGCATGTTTCACTGGACCCTAAAAAATTCAGTAGTTGATTCTGAGACCTCACAGAACTTACCTGTTGGTTGCATCAGACAGCTCTTAAGCATTGTTTCAAATTCTCTTAACTGGGCTTCCTCCTCTCACCACAGCTGTGGCTACCGGCTCCAGATATGTTTACAGCTATAAAATGAGTGTGTGGTGTGCTTTGTGCGTTCTACCTTGGGTCGCTCTGTCTCCACAGTATGCCCGTGGGAACTTGTGTTTGCACAACCCATAAGTAGGGAGAGTTTACTCCCCACAGAACAGCCCTTGGCCAGCGGTGAAGTGGAGCTGATAGATACTTTCTCCTTTCATCCCATGGGTGACTGTTCTGAAATGCATTCTGCGAATCTTCTCAGAATGTCCTGAAGACTGAGCACAGGTATATTGGTGTATGGACACTTCCGTTCCTGTTTATTATTTCTGTCTCTCTCACAGAGGAGCCTGAGCTTTGGAGGAAACCCAGGCCAAGACAATAGTTCGCATTCTCCTCATATTATGTGCCCTAGGACTGTGGACTATGGACCCTGAGGCTCTTGACTCTTGCACAACCCTGAGGCACACAGTTATGCCCTGGGTTACTTGCCTCCAGGGTTTGTACCCTGCAGGACCCTTTATCTGCAGCAGCCCAGGTCTGCTGAGACATGGCTGGCTGTCTACAGATGGGATCCAGGAGGCCTTGTGCTGATGGGCTCCATTTTGGCATTATGCTAAGAAGTTAGGCTTTTCCCAAATAGCCTTCTAGCTGAAAATCTCCTCACTCTTAATTATAGTTTCTCTGCTGGTTGTGTTGGGTCCTAGGAACACTCATTTACCACAACTGTTAGCAAGACCGAGATTTACTGCATTTTGTAATATTTGTAAAACTCTCCTCTCATTTCATTTCAGCACTGCTCACCAAAGTCTGCATCAGCACTTTTTTTTAAAAAAAGTACAGCTTTATTGAGATATTATTTACATACTATACAATTCCCTCCAAGTATACAATTCAATAGTTCTTAGTATAGTATATTCACAGAGCTGTGCAGCCATCACTATAATCAATATTAGAATATTTTCATCACTGCAAAAAGAACCCCTGTACAGTCACTCTCCATTTACCCCCAAATCTCCCAGTACTAAGCAACTACTAATTTACTTTCTGTCTTTGTGAATTTGCCTATTCTGGAAATTTCATATAAACAGAATCATACAATAATATTTGGTCCTTTGAGACTGGCTTCTTTCACTTAGCATAGTGTTTTCAAGGTTCATCATGTTGTAGCATGTATCAGTTCCTTTTCATGGCTGTATAGTGTTTCATTGTATGGATATACCACATTTAATTTATCAATGCATCAGTTAATCGACATCTGGGTTGTTTTCACTTTTTGTTGACTATTGTGAAAAAAGCTTGTATGAATATTCATAAACCTGCTTTTATGTAGATATGTTTTCATTTCTCTTAGATATATACCTAGAAGTGGAATTGCTGGGTAATATGGTAATTTTATGTTTAACCTTCTGAGAAACTGCCAGACTGTTTTCCAAAGTGGCTGCCACATTTTACATTCCCACTAGCAGTGTATGAGAGTTCCAATTTTTCTACATTCTCACCAATACTTATTATATGTCTTTTTTATTTTAGCCATCCTAGTGGTGTGCAGTGGTATCATATTGTGGTTTTGATTTGCATTTCCCTAATTACTAATGATGTTGAACATCTTTTCATTTACTCACTAGCCATTTGTATATCTTCTTTAGAGAAATGTTTATTCAGATCCTTTTTTAATTGGGTTGTCTTTTTTTTTCCTCAGTTTTATTATGTAGAATTATTACAGTCTTTTTATTCTTGAGTTATAAGAGATATTTATATGTTATGGATAGTAATTCTTATCAGATATGTGATGTACAGAAGTTTTCTCCCATTTTGTAGATTGTTTTTTCACTTTCTTGATGATATCCTATGAAACACAAAAGGCTTTAATTTTTATGATGTCTAATTTATCTACTTTTTATTTTGTTGCTTGTACTTTTGGTGCAGTATCTGAGAAAACATTTCCTAATTCAGTTATGAAGATTTATGCCTGTGCTTTCTTATGAGTTTTATAGTTTAGGCCTTTGACAAAATTATATCTTTGACTTATTTTGAGTTCATTTTTATATATGGTATGTATAGTATGAAGTAGAGGTCCAACTTCATTCTACTGCACGTGGATGTATACTTGTCCTAGCACTATTCATTGAAAAGACTAACATCTCCCCATTTAATTGTCTTTACTCTCCTGTCAAAATTGAGCTGGCCATAAAGTGATTATTTCTGTACTCTCAGTTCTATTCTGTTGATCTTTGTATCTGTCCAGTTCCACTCTTCTTGATTACTATAGCTTTATAGTAAGTTTTGAAATTGGGAAGTGACTTCTTCAATGTCATTCTTCTTTTTCAAGATTGTTTTGCCTAATTTAGGCTCCTTTAATTTCCACATGAACTTTAAAATCAGCTTGTCAATTTCTGCAAAGAAAGTGGCAAAGATAGAGATTTCATTGAATTTATCTGTAGATAAATTTGGGGACTATTACAACTTAATAATATTAAGTCTTCTGATCCATGAACGTAAGATGTCTTTCCATTTATTTAGGTTTTCTTTAATTTTTCCCAGCAATGTTTTGTTGTTTTCAGTGTACAAACCTTGTACTTCCTTGGTTAAATTTGTTCCTGAGTATTTTATTCT